TANCAATCAAAGACCGTCCATTGATTCTAGTTATTTATTTTGCTTTCAAAGTTTACTGACGAAAATACAGACAGTTTATGTGTCGCTTGATCAAACAAATAGTCGGCCCGTTGATGATTAACTAGTCACTGCTTCAGTCAACTGTGTGGTTAACCGGCCTCTACGAAAATAAACGAAATCAATTAGTGGTTTTCGATTAGTCCGTACAATATGGATCTTCAATATGTACTAGAACTGCTAAGTCCAGTCTTGATGTACATATGACAATTGTATTTAGCGTTCTATTAGCATCAATTCATTTTGTGTAAGTTTTCGAAAGTTAAATTGAATATATCCGTCATCAAAATTGTTACTATATACTGACTCTGAATGTTTGATAGTTTGGAAGTACTTTAAAAGCCAAACATCCATGATATGAATGGTACATGAATTGATGCTGATCATTCTCTTTAATTACATAAATGCTTTTTTGTCTAAATTTTTTCATTTAAATCACAATTATGAATAACTTTCTAATGATTTCTAAAATATTCAGTCATTCAAAAACTCTATCTGCATTTCATTTATCCTTGTATGTGCAAGATTTGGAAGAAAATGAATAGCCATTTTACTTTAGCAAGCGTGTGCATACTTCTTCCGATTTTTGAGCCGCAAGTCATTGTTGTCAATGAGTGGAATACCAGAAATAAGCGAAAAATATAAATATATCGAAAAAGCAATGGTGGTCAGAATGAACAGTAACAAGATATTATTTAACTGCATTACCGTTTGCTCACTGTGATTTTATACATAAGCAACGATCTTGATAATGGTTGGTGCGTTCTCCACAACGGATATAATGGAGATTTGAAAATTTTTTGGCTTGTATGACTCATTACTATTACTAATGAAGTATTTTTTATATAGGCAAGGCAGTCAAAAACCCTTCATTTCATTGTTGATTGTATTGAAACTTGCAAATAACCTGATTAGTATGAAACTACATATTAACTGATTATGTTGGTAAATAAATTTGCGTATCAGTAAATATAATTAGTTTGCAGTAAATTAAATCGAAAGATAATTATAGAAATAAAAATGTGCTATGGTGTGATTGTTTTTTTTTTTGTTTTCGTTATAATCAAGTGGTGTGTTGGGCATATATAAAAAAACGGATTGACAGTTGTATATGTCGAAGAGATGCTAAACGTATTGTAAAAACTAATAAAAGACATTGAAATGCTTCCATTCCTCAATTGTACAGAAGTATTCATATTAGCATTAGTATCATTTATGAAGAAATGAAGTATCAACAAAAAACAAAAGAGCTAATCACTATTAGATTTTATGAATTATTTTCATAATAAATGGCTCACAATAAATGATGGGTAGTAGTATGAAGATATACAACTTTATACTCCAAGTACAAACATCAGTCNCGATGAGCGTAACACGCTGTAAAGCATCGTATATGATTGTCGTAAATGGTCACTGTAAACGACTGCCGTTTGCGATATCTTACGATGTTATCCGAGCATCGTTTACTGTCGCCGTATTTTTACGGTTGTTGTAAAGGACGAACGTTTACTGTCATTGTTTACAATTAACGTAATACGCCGTAAAACGCCGTATATGATTGACGTAAACGGTCACTGTAAACTGCTGTCGTTTTTCGTCGTAAATGATTGGTGTACGACCGTTTACGGCCGGGCATGAATGACCTGGGTAATGAAGATTGAAAAGAAAACTACTTATTTTAGCTTTTCTTTTTAGTTGTTTTGTTTTGATTCTATTCAGTCGTTTACATCCTTCAGTGAATATCAACAATGGAACTGATTTTATTCTGAACGCATATATGAACCAAACCAACTCTATAAAATGGTGTGAGTGTGATAGGCATATTTCATAGAAATACACTTAAACTCTAGACCAAACGTATTCATAGATGAATTTATTAGTTTTATTCATATTTCAATTATCTTGTGCTTTAGTCTTTCGATCAAAAAACAAGTTAATTTGACAAATTGTACTTCATTTCTGTTAAGATATATTTTAAAATAAAATATTTCAACTGAATAGATATCTAGTCTATAATTTTTATCTAGTTAATATATATCTAAGATATTAGATTTATTTGATGATCTTTATATTGAATAATCATTTAGAATGAATCCATTAGATTTCTATTATTTACATATTTAAGATTATTGAATGATGATTCAAATATAATAATCGCTTTCAAGTTCAACAGCTTTAATAATACTAATAAGAAAATTTTTTCTTACAAATATAAATTGCAAATCTGTGAAAGATATTTTAAAGTGTTTTATTTTTTAATAATGATAAGAGATTTAATGAATATTAATTATTTTCTTTTAAAAACCAATGAAAGAGGCTGAGTAAAAATAAAATTACGAAAATCTTCAATTCAGTTTTAACGCATTATCTTAAACAGTATAAGAATTTTAAGGATCTGTCTCCTATCTGAAAAGTTGGCTTTCGTCAGACTGGTCAAAATAGTCTGTCATTTTCTCTTTCATAGACGATAAAAAAAACTTTTCTTCAATACATTCTTTTTTCAGAAAAATTTTTTAAAATTTTAGAGAACTTTTATATCCTTTTTTTGAGGGTGTGGGTATGGGTGTGGGTGTGGGTGTGTGGGTGTGTGGGTGTGGGTATGGGTGTGGGTGTGGGTGTGGGTGTGGGTTGGGCATTGTTCTAACCTCTACATGCACGAAGGAACACCCGCATCCATACTCAAATCAAGAGACCCAGCGCCACCCCCACCCCCACACTCGCACCCACACCGCTACCCCCATACATCCACACCAAGCCACTCACATCCACACTCACCCACACCCACACCCACACCCACACTCACACTCACACCCACACCCACACCCACACCCACACCCTTCTTATGGAATTTGGAAAAACTATATCATACTCTTTGAAATATTTGTGGTGATGCCACATAGAATCTATATGGATTTCTAGTAGGTATTAATAGATATATAGAGTACTCATTTATCTACAGAATGGTGAAAGCCCCAGCTCTCTAGCTCTTTACGTTCTTGAGCTATTGCAAAAATACCCGAGTCCATTTTTTTTGGACAGGCAGTAGTTACAAATCTAAAATACACATTTGGCATTTTCCTTCTGCCCAGCTGAAATTCATTGCTTCAAAAGACAAACGTATTTCGCATACTACTCAATGAAGGAAAGATGAGTCATTCGATCGCTCAAGAGGGAAAAAAATTTGACGCTGCGTGCTTTGTTAAACATGCCATCGTTGCATGTGCTGACTGTAAGTTGTTTCTTTTGAGTAAATAGAAATACCTGGAAAGGAACAATCCATTGAGTCATTTTTTTCTACCTAACGAAAACTATAAAAGGAAATATTTGCTTCAATACTGTCTGTAATCATCGGCTACGATTTAGGAACATATTTTTACTCTAAACAAACTTTATTATTTTATTCGTTATTTATATCTACATTTAATCTCAGTGTATAAAAAAGTATGGCGGATCTTTGGGGGTGCCCTTGAAAATACTGAACCCATGGAAGAACCAACAACTGCAGTTGCTATCAAAGCACCCACACCCTCTTGTAGTTGAAGATCTGATCAATCATGGTAAAATTCAAAGTGAAACTGAACAACTCAAAACATCATTGCAATGTTCGGCACAAATTGTCATTGCTGCTTACAAAGTCGCGGATTACGTTCCAAATTTGGCAAATGCTAAACATCGTGAATTTTGGCAAATACAAGTGAGTCAAATTGTACTCTCACTGAATGAAAAATGCTATTCAATATTTTAAAATATTTATTTGATGCATGACTCTTATAAATGGACATTTATTATTGGTTTTTAGGTCATACCAACACTAGTTAAAAGTCTGGATCAAGATGTCAAGGCACGTTCAGTAGTCATGGAATCATTTTCTGCGGTACGTGACTTGGCTCTTAGCATCAAACGAGGTGCAGAATTAGTCAAAATGAGTCAAGGTAATTTTTTGTTCTTTTATTTATTGAGGTTTTTTGAAGAGAATGTTTAATTATGTTCTGCAGCTTCAGTTGCTGCTGCTCAACGCACTATCACCGCTGCTCTCAATGATTTGAACAAAAGTATCGAAAAGGCGGATTGTTTAAATAGTTCGGCTATAAAGGAGTTTGCGGGGCAAACTGAAGCATTACTCAAAATCATGGGCCCTGAAACAGCTAAATATGCGCAAAAAAAAGTTGAAATCGAAAATTCACTTAAAACAGAATACGAAAAAGAACAAACTCTATATACTGAAATTGCTCATAAGAAAGGTAAGATTCTCTTTTTGTTTCCGTTAGCTTCATGATTTGGTGTCTCACGAGATACGTTCATCATGTTACAAATCGAATGATTAGGTGCACAGAAAAGAGTTAATCCATGCATTTGCTCAAATGAATGATAGTAGACAACAAAGATCCATTTTTCATTAGCTACTTTAAAAATTTTTTTTGATTCTTTACACTCGAAATCATTTTCTTTATCTATTCTACTAACTCATTGGTTTTTGCCAGTTCAATAGAGGGATATTTAACTGATTAATTGCTCTTGAACTGATATTTTTATCACAACTAAGTCAATAGAACAATGAATCTTTCAGCAATGTCACATATCCAAGAAATTGCAGATGCAGGAGATTCAACGAGAGATTAGATGCATTCGAAAGGCTTTTTCTACAAGCCACTTTTGCATGTACTGATCCCCTTTGCATTTCCTGCATTTACAATTTTCTGGATATGCGACTCCTCTCAAACTTTCAAAGTTATTTAAACTCCTATGGTATATAACCAGTTCTAGTGCTTTCTTCATTAATCGCCTAGAATTTCCTTTTTCGATTTACACAACTTTTTACATCAGAGAAAGACTCACCTTCATATTTAATGATACTGAAATAATAATTTATTTTTCTGTATCCATCACATCAATGAATAACCTTGATCGTATAGATTTGCAGTCTAGAAACTTATTTAGGAGAGATGGAACGCTACAGTCAACTAATACATGTAACTCAGAATCGAGTAAATGGATCAGCTGTTGCTTTGAATGAAACCAAGCGTCGAACACAAGAAATGGTAGCGCTCAATGAACAAATGGAAAAAACCATTCAAAAAATTCCTGTTTCAATTCCTAAAACTGAAACAACAACGAGTATTGAGCGAAGTGCGTGGTTACCATGGAGAAAAACAACATCAACACGTATTACATCTTCTATGGTATGTCGATCATTTACTATGTTTGCTTAACGAATTCATGTAAACTGTTCTAGACGGAAAACCCAAATCGAAATGTTGAGAAAAATTACTATGAAAGTATAGTTTTGTCAAGAATGGCTTGAATTCGAGAAAATCTAGACGAAGAAGCAACCAAGGAGAGAGTGAATAATGATTTAGAACAATGCCTTAGTGATTATAAGGCCAAATACAGAAGTATTGTTCGAGAACTAGAAGACTTAGAAAAGATCCTTCCAGAGAAGTTGGCTGCAATTCAACGCGAGATTAATTCACTTAATGATCGTTTAATTGATATCGATAAAGAGGCAAACGAAGCTACAAATACAATCGGTCATCATGGAAATACTTTAGTTCAATGTTTAACTGATGTTCGAATTTTAGCGAAGGCGATCAACAATGGTGCTACAGCATATACGCCATTAGTTAGCGCTTTGAAAGGTCGGTTAAAACACATTTTTTCATATCTTATTTTAATGCAACACGTTTTTTCTGTTCAATTATTTATTATTCAGCTGTCAGAACATCCGTCGATGCCCAGATTGAACTACTCATGAGTAAAAACCCGACAGATATTTTTCTCGGTGGAAATCAACTGTTGAGACAAGTCGAGTGTCTTGGACATTATCATACATGTGCTACTAAATGCTTAGAACCACCACAAGAATACAACAATATTACAATCAAAGAAAAACTCAAAGCCATTGAAATGTCGTGACAGTGATCATTGTGATCTTCAAAAATCATTTACATTGTTAATTTTGAAATAATACAGTTTAGTCCATTTTGAAAGCCAATAAAGAAAACTTTTCAATAAACTCAATCGAATTGATTGTGTTCGACTTCGGTTTTTAATTCACACTCGAAAATCGACTCATTTGGATTGGCCAATCTGTTGAAAACTGTGGGTTTGAGCTATTCAAAACAGTTATTTTGACTCTCTTTAGGGTGTGGGTGTGTGCCTGAATTAAAGATACCCACACCCACACCCAGGAAGCAAGATGAAACGTTCGAGGTTAGCGTATTTTGTAGCCGGCGGTTCATGGTACCGAGGTCATTGTTCAAAAGGGTTTTTTTTTCAAGAAAGATTTTAGCGGAGCATAACTGTGTTTTGCATCAAAATGGAGTTATGGTCCGCTTTGATGGTGCGAATTTCCTGATCTAGAGGTGTTTTGATATTGGAATGAAAGCCACATGGGTTGATGCAGAATTTCAAGGGCTATCAACTGGTGAAAAAATATTTGATTTTCGAGTTAATGAGACGGAGTCATTCGCATTTTACTCGAAGGCTCGAAAAACGCAGAAAACTCGAATAACTCCGTCCCGTTAGCTTGAATTCCCTCAATTCACCCACCGTCGGAAAGAGCGTCGAAAATTAAACAAAACAGTGGGTGAATAAAATGGATTCAACTTTATGTGAGGGAACTAGACGAAAAACGAAAGTAAGGACAAACGCAGATCGCTTAACTTTTGTCCTTCACTGTACATACATACAAACGCATTTTATTTCATATGACCCTCCTTTCAGTCGAGGGAACTAACAATTTGACATCAACAAAATCATCTTTGTATCATGATCATGTTTTCGAACGATATTGACATACCTTGTCTTTGTAGCTAAAAGTAAAGTCGTTTGCATATCTATCACCAAGAACAACAAAAAAATTTTAAATACTTACTATTTTGTGTGTTCTTTTACATAAATGACATAGTATGATAACATCATTGATGATAATTAGATGACAAGAAATAGGAATTATATTACTACACTATGAAAAATGTATTTATCAGTAGTAATAGTTAAGTATTTCAAATCAATTGAAAGAAAGACATAAAACGGAATCTATGTAGATAATTGTAGGATTATTGCTATCATTAGTCTTTCATAAATTTTGATGATAGCCTTTTAGTCATTCGGTGTTGTAACAAAACCATTGGAAAGACAAGCGATGATTTTTCCACTAACTACATGCTTTTTCTAAGTATATTACGAGATATTTAAGTAGAATGTATGTCGTTGTATTGAAATTAGATTGTAAGGATGAGAAAAATTTCTTTTTCACATAATTCATAACTTTCACTGGTTTTTATTAATTTTCTTGAAAACGTGCTTATTATTTCAATAATTTTTACTCGTTTATTCTTCAGTAATCAGTAGCGGAAAATATAAGAAACAATAGTCACTTCTCTCTTTAGAAAATGATAATAATGAGAACATGGCGAAGTGTTTATGTTTCTATCATTTAATTTACAAGAAAACAATTTGTATTTTGAACAGATCAGTTTGATTAATTTTGAGACAATTTATCATTCACCAGAACTAAGCTAACAAAATTAAAACAAGTGACAATAGTATATCCAAACAGTGATACCAGAATTTTTATATCTTTATTTCAGTATATTACAGAAAAAAATTCAGAACATCATAGCTATATCACTCTCGATATTTTTTAACATTTATTTGGTCTCTTGATAATTTCTTTGCGTTTGATCTTCGATAATTTCAATCCAATTCGATCATCAAGAAATATTTCATCTTAACTTCTACTTCAACTACAGCTTCTACAAAGCTAATCCAACCGAAGTGAATGAAAAAACATTCAAGTCATTATCATAAAATATTCTCATTAAGTTGAACCCAAACGCAATGTCAAAGATTGAAGAACAAAGTCTGCTGAAATTTCTGCTTTACAACAATTTTTGAAAGTTTTTATTAATATAATAAAACGATCGCACAAGAAGATAATGGTAATAAGACTGATGATTAAGATCGAAATTAAGAATAACTTTGTAAAGGTATTAGAGACAAATTCTGAAAAATTATATCTATGGCTGTAATATATAAGTTCTGAACATTTTTGGAAGTTGAAAGGTAAAATAGTTTAGCTAAGATACTGTCAAGGCAAATGATTGGTTTCCATAGAGATGATACACAGTCTTATTATCTATAGTCGATCAATAACAACGGTCTGCAATATTGGTGTTTAGTCAAACTTCTTCATATCAAGCATCGGTAATCTCAATATAAAAAAGCTTATCCATGTTTAATATGCTGGTTACTGTTAATTTTATAGTCGAAACTGGTCGATTTTATGTTATATAAAGTCATCGCTAGAAAAATATGACTTTCTTTAAAATAAATTCAGATAATGAGTTTTTTCATGTCATAGAAACCAATCAAAGACCGTCCATTGATTCTAGTTATTTATTTTGCTTTCAAAGTTTACTGACGAAAATACAGACAGTTTATGTGTCGCTTGATCAAACAAATAGTCGGTCCGTTGATGATTAACTGGTCACTGCTTCAGTCAACTGTGTGGTTAACCGGCCTCTACGAAAATAAACGAAATCAATTAGTGGTTTTCGATTAGTCCGTACAATATGGATCTTCAATATGTACTAGAACTGCTGAGTCCAGTCTTGATGTACATATGACAATTGTATTTAGCGTTCTATTAGCATCAATTCATTTTGTGTATGTTTTCGAAAATTAAATTGAATATATCTGTCATCAAAAATGTTACTATATACTGACTCTGAATGTTTGATAGTTTGGAAGTACTTTAAAAGCCAAACATCCATGATATGAATGGTACATGAATTGATGATGATCATTCTCTTTAATTACATAAATGTTTTTTTTGTCTAAATTTTTTCATTTAAATCACAATTATGAATAACCTTCTAATGATTTCTAAAATATTCAGTCATTCGAAAACTCTATCTGCATTTCATTTATCCTTGTATGTTCAAGATTTAGAAGAAAATGAATAGCCATTTTACTTTAGCAAGCGTGTGCATACTTCTTCCGATTTTTGAGCCGTAAGTCATTGTTGTCAATGAGTGGAATACGAGAAATAAGCGAAAAATATAAATATATCGAAAAAGCAACGGTGGTCAGAATGAACAGTAATAAGATATTATTTAACTGCATTCCCGTTTGCTCACTGTGATTTTATACATAAGCAACGATCTTGATAATGGTTGGTGCGTTCTCCACAATGGATATAATGGAGATTTGAAAAATTTTTGGCTTGTATGACTCATTACTATTACTAATGAAGTATTTTTTATATAGACAAGGCAGTCAAAAACCCTTCATTTTATTGTTGATTGTATTGAAACTTGCAAATAACCTGATTAGTATGAAACTACATATTAACTGATTATGTTGGTAAATAAATTTGCGTATCAGTAAATACAATTAGTTTGCAATAAATTAAATCGAAAGGTAATTATAGAAATAAAAATCTGCTATGGTGTGATTGTTTTTTTTTTGTTTTCGTTATAATCAAGTGGTGTGTTGGGCACATATAAAAAACGGATTGACAGTTGTATATGTCGAAGAGATGCTAAACGTATTGTAAAAACTAATAATAGGCATTGAAATGCTTCCATTCCTCAATTGTACAGAAGTATTCAAATTAGCATTAGTATCATTTATGAAGAAATGAAGTATCAACCAAAAACAAAAGAGCTGATCACTATGAGATTTTATGAATTATTTTCATAATAAACGGCTCACAATAAATGATGGGTAGTAGTTTGAAGATATACAACTTTATACATCAAGTACAAACATCAGTCTAGAAGCACTGAACAGAACAACTAAAGATGATGGAACGTTTAGAGAACTTCATATTCCATCAAAATCTTAGACAATAGCTTGAAATATCGTCAATAATTGGTCAAATGAATGAGATACTAGATCAATCAATGGAACAATATTTGCTACTAAACAATAATATCTTAAGAATTATGGACTTTATCTCACTAACGAACTAAATCAACGAAAGATATTATTTCTATTTTCAGTGATACTTCAAAAAAATATTGCATACCCGCCGGTGATTTACGATCAATTGCTAAATCAAATCAATATACATATAAAACATGATCAGCATTAAATGGATTCAACAAACCATTTGATATTTGGTGTATAGAAATGGATAATGGCTCAGATTGAAAAAATCACAATGCAACAGTCCAAAGTTTTTAAAGAACTCCATATGCAAACACATTATTGGTGTCGCCATTCATTCAAAATATTACAAATCATCACCAGCAGCAAAAAATTTTCGACTGGGAAGAAAAATAAAAGTAGACTAGCTAAAGCTAAACCCGTTTCGTCAGTACAATAATTGCATTTTCATTTTCTTTTTTCTCTTTTGTTGTTTAGATTTCTATTAAATGTTCTTTCGGTTTTTTCTTATCTAATCACATTTATTTTTATCATATTATTTTGCTTGATACAGTTAAATCTTATTTTTCTACTGATAAAATCTCTATTTTACACTGATCAAATTTATATTTGTTGCTGATAAAGATTGTAATACTTTGAACTTCTACTTATCTACTAGGTTATTCATTTTATTGTTAGTTACTGATTATTTCAGTGCTTATTATTTAATCTCTCGTACTGATTAAATTTTTTTCTCAATCGATGTCCTTTGTATTAATAGCAACACGAATGATACAAGGAGAAAAAGAAGAATCCGCACATTGAAAATGCCTTAGTTGTGTATACAACGATACAAGGAACAGTAAAATCATGCCTCGTTATATAATTAAAGAACGTACTAATGTCATATATACGTTGGTTTATTTTTACAAACATTTTCGATCACAATCATATGTAAACAAATACTTTAATGTGATAAACAAGGTCCCTCAAAAGAATACAAATAACTCGCTTAACTGATAGTGACAGATTATACA